GCAAATGATCACATACAATCTAGTTTTATGTCTAGATTCTCATACATATTTATTTGGATAATATTTTATAAGGAGATACTAATTTTTGTTTCCCTGTCAGTAGTATAAAGGACACAAATACCAATCTAGGATATTTTAGTGCATTTTTTATTTTTAATCCACTGTATCAGTATAGATTTTGGTCAACTATTGTCTGGTCAAAACATGTTGATCCTAGGGTAGGTATTTAATAAAAGAATTCTATAAAGAAATAATCCTTCGCATCTAGACCCAGAAAAGCTCACACACTGACTCACTGTAATCTATCTCCTCAAAGCACCATAGACCTATAGGTCCCTCCAAAGGGAGACACTGCAGTTTTGAATACAGTAAATATTTCCATTGTCCTAATGCTACCTCTTGTCCTATTTCTATGCTTATAAACACGGCACTATTTTTACCTTGAATAATGCATGGCTTGGTGGCCTGCAATATTAAAATAGAAGTCAGTTGTATGCTTCATTTCATTGGTGTGCCCAGTGGCCTCAATCCAGTGCCCTATTGGGAGGCAGTAAACACCATCCACCAAGTTGTTTTCATTATAAGTACAGCAACGGTCATGATGAGGTCCATTGCCTAGAACAAGAAGAAATGACAAACAGAGCAATTAAATCCATGTTTTGCTTAGCAACCTCAAAGTGGCTGATGCAAAATTAATAGCATAAAGAAAATAAACATGAAGCTGCTTAATCTACACATTTCATATAAACAAAAATAGACTAGAGTGAGAGAGAGAACAGTGGGCATTTGTAAGAAGTTACTTAGGGAAATTACAGGGTTCTGTGCTCCTTTGAGTACATGGATTTAAAAAAGCATTTTAACTCTTTCAGAACTTCATGGGACTTCTCGGTGCCCTGGGAGCCCATTGTGAGTCATTTTGCGGCCCGATAAGCTGCTGGAAAAGGTTTTTACAGCCATTAATGCCCCCATATTACATACTTTTATCTTTCTGATATGCAAATTTATGACTAAAATCAGTAATACAGTGTTATAGTATCAGCCCAAACAATAAATATATAAATATAAATAAATGCATTAAT